GCGGACGGAGAAAGGCAGCGGCGGACAAAGGCCTCAAGCGTCGGGGGTGATGCGGATTTACCCCACAACTCCATCGAGGCGATTGGGAGAAAGGGGGCTCGAGCTCGGCAATGGCGGCGGGGGGGGCGGGGAGGGGTGAAGGCGAACTAGCGATGGAGATCCCGAGCCTTGAAGATGAGAAGGCGGGTCTGCAGGACCCGAGGCGAACCCGTGGTTTTATAGGGGCGACGGGTGCGAGAAGGGCAACCGCCCGCCTCGATCTCCGGGCCTGCCACGCGCGCCGTCCCGTCACACCGCGGGACACGCGCCCGCAGTTCCTATCTTCTCCCACCATAAACCACGGCGGACGGCTCGACTTCCCCAGGCGAATCCGGACTCTCTTCCCACCCGGGGAAGCATGGGTCATAAAGATTTGTTCTCTCTCTTTGGCCCGCCTAGGGCCCGGAGGCTCGGCGGCCGGCCCAACCAAGGGCGGGTCCATGAACGACCCAAAATCAAGGCGTAAGCATTCTTGAGGTCTCGATCCGCGGTCAAGCCCGATTAGGCAAGTCTTGAATAAAATCCCCTTGAGCAGGATGCCACGATCCAGCTAACAAGAAAACCTAAATCTTACGATCTTACCCATGGAGGCCCACGCAAGGGCTCTCGGGACTACACCCACCGGTTGCGCTTTCGCCGCGCACCCTCTGGAAAAGTAACTCCGACGAGATCGAAGAAACCCCGGATGATTCAGCCCGAATCACCCAAGGGCTCGGGGACTCTTGTCGGGGACCTAATGCAGGGGTACCCAAAGAGGAGGAATCAATGAACCATCGAGCGGTAAGGACTCCCAAAGCGCGGTTACATCTCTTGCCCGACCAAGCGGAAGTCTTGTTCCACCTCGCCCGGCGCCCATGTGCCCTTGGGACCCGCTCTACCTCGCCCGGCCAATGGAAGGGCGACTCCGCCTCGCCCGGCAGGCTGGGGCGACTCCTCTCGCCGGCCAGTGGGCGACTCCCTCTCGCCCGACGGCTGGAGGCTCGACTCGCGCCGCCCGACTCGCCCGGGGGGGCTCGGCTTCACCCGACCCTCCGAGGGATGACTCCGCTCCGCGCCCGAGCGGCTTGAGGGGGGGGCGACTCCACCTCGCCCGGCCCGGTGGGCTCGGCTTCACCCGACCCCTAGGGGATGCGCCGCCTCGCTCAACCCCCGAGGCTGGGCTCGGCCCGTTCGATGGCCGGGGGGACTCCGCTTCGCCCGGCGGGTAAAAACTAGGTTTTACCTCATCCAAAGCGACCAATAGCGAATCTCGCCTCGCCCGATATCCGGTGGCCCGGTCTCACTGAACCACGCGCCTGTACCCCTCATGATGACGATTGCGAGGGTAAGACAAGGCGTTCGGGTCAACCGCGGCGTTAGGCGCCATACCACCACCCTGCAGGGAATTACCGTCGAGATGTGACGAGCGGCGCTTGGACCCCTCCGGGCGTGGCGAGCCTGAAACGATGTTGCGGCGCGCTGCTCTCCATCCTCTGATGTTGTGGCGCCGCCCTCGACCTCGAGACGCGAAGAACCCGGCGCGAGACATCGACAACCACTACGTTCCAAGGGCAAACCAGCGATCACGCGCCTCCAGGCCCCCAAGGGGTGGGGCTCGGCTAAATCTGTCCGACCGCGCCGCGCGAGAGGGGATGGGACGTACCCACTTGCTAAGCGATGGCGTGGGCGTGGCCCACGACGGTCTGTCGCCTCAATCGACACGATCGCCATGATGGGCGGATCGGTGCGTGGGGAAGAAGGAAGGACCGGGTTCCTCGAAGGACCTTCTATGCTCTTAGTGTTTTCTTCTTCCCGTCTGTAAAAAACCACCTTCCCTTGATCTATAAAAGGGGGCGGGGCTCCCCTAAGGGATCGATCAACGATTACGAACAGGTTAGCACACACACACACACCACACGGCCAAGCGCCAGCGAGCTCTTGGCGTCCTTCCAATCACTCCATCAGGGACTTGGGGTCTCTCCCTCTCCCAACCGTTTGTACCCCCTACTACGAACCTCATTCGGTGCTAATAACACGAGCAGCAACAGACTGGACGTAGGGACATTCAGCCCGAACCAGTATAACCCTTGTGTCCTTTAGCACACCATCCGGGCCTAACGCGCATCAATTACAAATTTACTTGTCTTCGGTGCTTTGAGCTTGTTTTTTGCAGCTAAAAGGGCGCTGCGCTTGGGAACGATGTCATAGCATTGAGATCCTTAGTGATGTGCAGCTTAGGCGGGGACACAATCAGCGGCTGCTGAAGCGAACGCTTGAAGGACTCAACGAATCACTGTTCGAAACACTGCAGAGCGCTTAATGTGACATTGTCTCCTTAAGGATCCGAAGCCAGCCCATCAACATGCGGCGATCCACAGCTACGCACAGGCGAAGACAAACGATATGGGGGCTTTGTCCTCCGAGGAAGCAGCAGCAACATGCACAACAGACATAGGCCCATTATTGCCAGGGCTCCAACCGTCTGAATGACTGGGAGCGAGGCGACGAGCAACACCAGTATCAGATCATCCGCTACGTCCCGACCGGCATGTCCCGCGTCCAGGTGCAGTGACAAACGTCAATGTATGTTAATAAAAATGTTGGGTTGATACGTAGCTGATGCTGAAGTCTAATATAAAATATGGATGGTGATAGTGACCAACTGACCAAAACGATTGATATGTACATATATTATTACTTGTTTGCTAATAGTGTTTAATTTGCTGATGGCTTTAGATCGAATCTCACTCTCGATGCGTGAGTGTTGCCTGGCCGGATGACCAGTATTAAAAAGTACTTCTTCCGATCCATCGAAATTATTTAACTTTGACAAGTATATATTAAAAAACATCAACATCTATAGAAATCCAAATTACTGAATTGCCAATGAAATATGATAGTATCAATAAGATGAGGTAAATTGAGAAATTTTGACCTTCGGTAGCAGATGGAGGAAAATTGGAAGCCTAGTAGCAGAGGGAACTTTATGCTCACAGTTCACACCATCGGCTGTGAGTGTCTCTCCTCTAGTCTAGCTCTCCTTCAATTTTGAGTACATACATTTTTTTAGCAACACCACCCATGCCTCCCTGACTCGGCATATTACAAACACCATCAAGTGAGTTCAAGAACCACACATGCCGCCCTAACTCGGCATGGATCAAGCTACGAGCTATCCTATAAGCATCGGCATTTGAGTCCTTATATATGCTCATGTACAAACTTGATACTTATAAAAGTTGTCTTCCTCACATTGATCTCTCGGATAATTTGTCCATAGATCTCTAGGTTGCCTTGTCGGATACTTTTTACGGCATTTAGACAATCACTGGCTAACTTGAAACAGTTAGCTCGGAAGTCTGAAGCGAGAGCCATTCCTTCTGTGCATGCAATGGACTCCATCACCTCTGGAACGACAATTCTCTGAAGGACCAGCGCCGAGGCTTCCATAATCGACCATCCATGTCTCTTGCTATTGCTGCCACAGAGGTCATGGATGTGTTCTTGGATAGAGCCACATCAACATTTATTTTACCAACACCTGAGGGGGGTGCAATCCATGTCGGCCAACTCTGGCGCACTCGAGCCTGGGGGCGCTGCACGTGCATCTCCAGCCCTAGCTCCAATACTAGCCTGTCCACAAAATTATACGTCGATAGAGGGCTTTGGTAAACATTCTCATGGATCACCTTCCGCCATGCATACCAAATAGCCCACAATGTGATCGCCACTCTAGCGATGTCTTCTTGTGGTAGGATTTCTGCCATGATCGCCAGCCAAGACTTAGTGTCATTCTCTAAAATTCCACTCAAGAGCTCCACGGTCTCTTCCTTCTCTAATGTCCAAATACATCTCGCCTTGTTGCAATCTAGCAAAGAGTGTCTCCACGAATCCTCCATCCCACAGAAGAAGCAGATGCTACCTTGTGTCATCTTCCTATGGTGGAGCACATCTCCGGTCGGCAGCGAGTGCTTCGCTAATTGCCAGAGAAAAATACGGATCTTTGAGGGGACTCACCTTCCACAGTGACATCCATTCCCTCGAATCAGTGCGGTGACACAAGCGACCAGCAACTTGATGGCCGCGTCGTGATGCTCCTGTTGACGGACGAGCATATGAAACGCCGAGCATACCGAGCAGCTGCCCTGTTTGTCAAAATGTCATGCCCAGAAGTCCTCCTACCTTCTCGTATAGAGAGGTATGTTGGAAATTGTCATCATGTCAAGAGGGGTGAAGAACTCCTTCGGCATGTCATATTTCCACGCCACCACATAGTGCAGAAAGCATGTGAGGAAGAAGCTCAGCCCAAGCCCATTGAAATTTAGGTCCGCTCTGGAAGTGTGATAGCTAGTTCTGGCAGGCCTGTAATGTGTTCCAATGTTCCGTTCTATAATAACTTTTCGAATGAGCGGTGCTATGGGCCTTACGAGCAACCGCCAGTGGCCGGGCCTGACCATACGACCATACCTCGCAGCATGGGCCTTACATGGCTGTTTGCCGACTTGCAGCTACTGCCTGCCGCTCCTCCTCCTTCACATGGCATTGGTGTCAAAAGTCAAAATCAAAACGCTAAAAAAATCAGCACGGATTCAACAACTGTGCACAAAAAATCATCTATGTCTACATTAATAAATTTAGGAGGAGCTAGAAAAAAAAACTACACGTCTATTAAATTTGAAAAAAAAATGAGTAGTATATTCTAGAAGAATTAAATTACTAGCCAAAGATATGCATCAAAGACCGAAGAAGTAAAATGTGTCAAGTATTTTTCACAGGAGGGAGTAATATATATATGAACAGGTACATGTATCGATTAATTAATCGATGATTACACAACTATCTGCCGTGATTGAGCAAGAGCAATGCAGAAGAGAGCAACTCGATCGAAATTAAGAAAAACAGAAAAATAAGATACTGTAACAATGGTTTATAAAAACCAAATTAGCGACGCACGGAACGGGTTGCCGGATCCTTGTTAATTATTACGTCCTTCTCCTGGGCATGGACACGGCGTTGCCGTCGAAGAGCTCCTCGATGATGGCCTCCAGGTCCTCGCCGCTGAGCTTGACGTACTTCTCCGTCTGCCTCCCCGCGGTGAAGTGCTGCAAGAACCGTCCCAGGAAGGACCGGTACGCCGGCACGATGACGGCGGCGATGGAGACGCGGAGCTCCGACTGCAGCTGCTCGTCGCTGACCACCCAGCTCCCCTGCGTCCGCTGGATCTCGTCCATGGCGGCGTTGAACTGCTTGAACCGGTCCTTGAGCACCTGCTTCTGCACGTGGCCCTTCACGGTGATCACGCCGTCGTCGCGCAGCAGGTTGAGCACGCGGCTCCACGTCTCCCGCTGGTAGTTCTTGTGGTACTGCCGCAGGTCCGTCGACCGCTTCCGCGACCACGCCTCGCCCACAACGGCGTTGATCTCCGGCGAGCCCCGGATCTTCTGCAGCATGTACCGCCCGTTGTTCATCAGGAAGATGCTGCTCAGAGACGGGTCCTTGTACAGCCGCGACTTGGCCTCCAGGTTGCCGTGCAGCAGCTCCATCACCTCCATCAGCTGCGCCGCGAACGGGTCCCCGCCGCCTCCGCCGCCGTGCTCCGCGTCGTCGTCGTCGTCTGGGCGCCGGTACTCCTGGAACACCTGCTCCAGCGTCTTCTTGTACTCGCACGCGTACTCGAGGTAGTTCATCAGGTACCGGGTCAGCGGGTGCACCGCGCCGCCGGGCATCGGCTGCTTCCCGGCGTCCGCGCGGATGGAGCTCTCCAGGTCGCAGAAGATGGCCGCCGCCGACTCACCCAGCCGGGTGCGCACGGACGCCAGCTCGTGATTCAGGTCAACCAGGGCGGTGGACGCGCTGCCGCTGCCGCCGCCGTCTTCGTCCGCTGTGGCACCAGGCCCCCGGGCCCCGGCCCCCTCGCCCTCGCCGTCGTCGGCCGCCGGCGGAAAAAGGAACGCGTCCACCAGGGGGACGGCGTCGCGGACGGCCTCGTACATGTCCAGCACCTTGAAGAGCTTCTCCGCGGCGCGCTTCGTCAGCACCACGGCCTCCGTGAAGTTTAGCAAGCGCAGCATGGCGCAGTGCGCGAGGTCCGCGAAGATGTCGCGCTCGAGGCACCTCTGCTGCCCGCCGGCGGCGAACACGCGCGCGCACAGGTCGCGCTCGCCGGGGAGATCCACCTCGACGGTGTGCCGGAACGCCTTGATCCACGTCGCTATCTCCGACTCCAGCGCCTCCCAGGGCATCTTCACCACGTCGTCGATGCTCGCCTTCTCGTACCCGAGGCTCTGCAGCGACGCGTCCAGCGCATTCCGCCGCGCCACCAGGAACACCTGCGTGCACTCCGTCTCGCACCCCGCGGCGAACATGGCCTCCGCCATGGCGCGGAGCCGGCCCACGGTCTCCGGAGGGAACGGCGGCGACGCGTCGCCGAAGGAGGTCGGCACGACGCAGCGGTCCAGCTCCGCGCCGTGCCCGAACGACGGCGGCCGCTTCATGGACCGGCCCGTGGCGCTGCCCGTGTCGGCGGCCTGCGGCGCCATCTTGGCGACGCGCGGGTCCTCCAGCATCCCGTGGAACTCGTCCTCCACGAACGTCATGGCGCGGTGCAGCACGCCGGTGACGCGGTGCACCCCGATGGTGTACGTGGTGGCGCCGCACGGCGCAGTGTTGTCCGCGGTGAGCGCGGACGCGAGCGCGGCCAGGCGCTTGATCGCGGCGAGGTGCGGCGGTGCATCCCCGGCCTCGTTCGGCGCCCACTTATTGTCGGTCCCCTCCGACTGCGCAATCTCCTGCTCGACGGCGCTGGCGAACCTGTCCAGCGTCACCTCCGACACGGCCAGCGGCGCGTCGCCGTCCCTGGGGGCCGCAAGGAACGCGTCAATCTCCGCCGACAGCGCGGCGAGGTCCGGCTCCGCGGCCTCCTCGGGCACAGCGTCGGCCCCCGCCTCGCCGGTATTGTCGACGGCGGCTGCTTTCTCCTTCTGCGCCTCCTTGATGTGCTCGTTGAGCTTGATGGGGCCGAGGGAGAGGTTGCGGGCGAGCTTCTCCTCGCGGGAGGTGGCCGCCGAGAAGCTGCTGGACTTGAGCGGCGCGACGGGGATCCTGTCCATCTCTTGCCGCGGCGGCCAAGCTCGGCGCAACGAAGAACCTGGCTGGACGGCACGTCTGGTCTCTGATGAGGCATGCAACAAGGGGAGAGAGAAGCGTGGAGGGTGGATAGGGAATGGAGGTGTAGGAGAGAGAGGAGAGGTCGCCGGAGGTTGAGGAGGGAGACATGATTTGAAAGTGTCTTTCTCTCCCCTCACTTCGCAACGTGGAGTTTGCTAAAGAAAGCATTGGTGCTGGCTACCTCGCGGCGACGTGAGTCCCTCGCCGAAGCATGTCGTCTGCACGAAGCCGCTCCCCAAGAAAGTGGAAGAGATAAGATTGCAATTTATTAATTTCCAACAAACTAGTAATTTCCTTTTTGACATTTTTTAAACTTTGTGAAACGCAGAATTTGACATCTGAAATGGGGACCCCAACCGAAGTCCCAGATCGATTCAAAGAACTAATTTTAAGTTTCTAACGTTGAGCTCATGTTTGGAAAATCTCAAACCTAGAATTACTCTGTCCAATGTTTCCTAAAGTAAAATCTGTATTTGGTAATTTCTAATAAACAATTGCAAAATTTGAATTCAAACGTTTTTTGGCAATTGGAGTTTTGTTTAAACTTTGAACCTAAACATTTGATAGGAATATGCTATTTACACTAATACAGAAATCTTGTTGGAGGCGGGCCTTTTCGGTTAACGGAGGCGGACAACGCAACCGCCTTCGTCGAAAGGTCTCTATTAATGTAGACCTACAGAGGCAGTTGCTTTGCCCACCTCGGTTAAGAGGCGCCTTAAGGCAACCACCTCAGTTAATGCTCGATTAACCGAGGCAGACACCTAAAGGTGACCGCCTCGGACGGAGGTGGATGTCTAATGTGGCCCGCATCCGTTACTCTTTAGTCGAGGCGAGCATTTGGCCGGTGGCCCTGCTACCGGTTAACGGAGGCGGCCGCCCAACGTGATCGCCTTGGTTAATAAAAAGCCACCACCTCGCAAAATCTTTTTGTGTAGTAGTGTTACTTGTCAATAGCATTCTTGGAGGAAATGTGTCGAATTACTAACCTCATGAGATACAAGTAGATCCTAAATCTCCTGTGAGCGTGGAACTCGTGAACTCTAGCAAAGGTTTAGGATTTTAGAGGAGGAATTTGTGACCATAAAACATACTCGTTGTTGGCAATGAAATCTAGAAAACTTTGATAGAACATCAGCTAGAGGATCCCTAATGAACTCAAGATTACAATCTTTGACCACCAGAAAAGTGTTAGAGAAACCAGATCTTGTTGTAGAATAGACCAAAAAAAGAGCTCAAAATCGCCACATAAAAAATCAACCAAATGCTTCTCTAACAATCACCAGCCACTGAGATCTGAAGAGAGCCAACATATCTGACACAATATACTCACACTGGCCTTTCTCCGGTACTAGATAGATCAGACCTTGTCAAGGTAAGGAGAGGGGAGAGAGACATTATTTCAATGTGACATTGCCACCATCACCTCATTGATGCCACCAGGAAACTAAACCCTAGATAAAACAAAAACAACCATAAAAATCTATTAAGAGGGTGGTCCCTGCTCCTCTGGCCACGGGTGAAGTTATCAGTAGGAAGAGAGAAGGATCGAGGCACTAGCAAAGAGGAGCACGCTCTAGCATTAGCGGCAGCTATTGGCGGGGGAGGTTGATCTATGTAGGGATGAAAACGGAGCGGATCGGAGCGGATAATGCCTCTCCCATATCCTAATCTGCTTTTCTTTGTCGCATTTGGATCAGAGCAGATAATACATGTACGTGGATGCAAATGGGATTTTTTTGGATGTCGGAACTAGTACAGATGTGGAGGAGAATCGGATCAGCTACAGATTTAATTAAGTAGTCAAGTAATATGTGCATGTGTAGAGAATTATATGCTTGTTAAGAATTAATTTTGTAAGAGCCAATAACAATATAGTAGACAATAATCCTGCATTTCATTCCATTTACGGCTATCACACCGACTGCTATTAACACCTAATAAGTTATCCTCACTCACAAATGATAAACTATTAGCCAATATGTAATAACAGTCAACGAGATCTCAATTCAAAATTTATAATGTCAAACAACAACATCACAAAATAAGAGTTCTCAAGTAAGAAACTTTTTTTAATTTTTTTTGAATTTCTTTAGGTTTTAGTCGAAGAAGAGAAATTATTAGATATCCTATTCTAAATATCGGATGATCCGCAAATTTGTGGATAATCCATACCCACCGGATTTTATCGATTCCATATCCAACCCCGCTTCTGCACACAATCTGATTGAGATTATCCATATCCGTATGGATATTAAAAGTTTTTCCCTGTATCCTTCAAATTCACATTTTGACCGGATCGGATCGGGGCAGAGAATTATGTGCACCACTTTCACCCCTAGACCTATGCTATATTCTTAGTATGGTCACGTCAAGGGAATTCGAAGGCATGCAAAGTGACCTGTACGGTTTGGGTTTGTACAAGGATTACAACAGTGATACATATATGTTAAACTTGATTTGGATTGGGATTTTCTTTGGTCAACAGAGAAATATAGGCAGTCCCATATTTATATTTTCAGTTTAAAAAGACAATTTAAAATTCTACAATTAACTTCCTTGCCAAAAAAAAACTAAACATACCATCTTAGTTAATTAGTTTATTGGTAGTACTTTTGTGTTGCTCAGTGTGGCAGTGTGGGCGAGGGCAATAGGAAAAACTGTGACGCAATGCGTATGGATCTTGAGTAGATTTATGGAAATTGCAGTCCCTGCGGTCTGCGGATTCGGCAAATCTTCTCTTTATAGTTCCTATATATATGCATCGTCAAGATATATTGTTGGAAAAAAAGTAAAACCTTCTATTTTTGCGGTATGCTCGGTTCGTGTCGGTCTCTCCCTTCGACGAATCGCAGCGCGTGGACTCGTTTGATCTCAAAAGCACAACGACACGAAGCAACTTTTCCCGATATCCTAACGGCCGCCGAACTCGATCAATCTGCCGCTCCCGGCCCCGATCCTAATTCTCCGACGACGACCAGACCATGTCCCGACCCTCTGCGGCGCATCAGCAGCAGCAGCAGTGGCGGCGGCGGCGGCAGCATGGCGAAGTGTTCGTCCGGCTGGTCACCGCCGCGAACCTCGTGCAGGAGCTGTCCACGATCCGCGGCCTCCTGGAGAGGTACCCGTACGTGACCGTGCACGCGGAGCACCACGGCGGCAGCGGCGGCGACGAGGAGGGCAACAACCTGCCGCCCGGCGTGCGCATCGACGACCTCCCCGCGGCGTCCCGGTACGGGCTGGCCAAGGTCGACGTGGCCACCTCGGTCCCGTACTCCCAGCTCGGCAACACGCTGTGCGACGCGAACGGGAGGCTCCCCGAGCTGCCCGCCACGCCCTGGCCCCCGGGCGCCGCCCCTGCCGGACAGTCCGTGTGGCAGGTCGGGCTCCACGACCGCGACTACTCCGGCTCCGGCTCCAGCCTGAGCGTGAGGGCGTTCACGTACGCGCTGTTCGCCACGGGAGTGGTGTCCGCCGAGACCCGCCGGCGCACCGCCGTTACGTGGGTCGCGTACGGCGGGCTCAACCACCTCGGGTTCCTCCTCAAGGTGCTCATGGGCGGCGCGCGGCTGCCGGACACGAAGGAGTTCCTGGCGTCGCTGAGAGCCTACCTCGGCGACAGGGTGTTCGACGGGAGGTACGTGGCGGCGCGGCTGCCCGTGGAGGATGATGTGAGCTTGAAGGGCCCTCTCACGCACATGGCGGCGCTGCTCGGTGCGCCCGCGGCGACGGCGGCGAAGGAGCCGTGGCAGGCCGGGGAGCGGAGCCTTGTCGCGTGCCAGGTGTTCATGCGCCTCAAAGGGCTCTTCTTCGCGTGGGACGACACCATAGACATGCATGCTGGCTGTATCCACGGCCTGCACTCACCGACGTCGTCGCCGAGCTGATTGTGTTGTACAGTGTAGTATTCTTTTTACGACAAGATCATGTTGTACAATAGGATTTGACAATTGTACTTTGTATCTAACTATATACATGATACTATTTATAAAAAAAAAATAGCACGAATGATGTGCAACTGATTTTGTCAACAGTAGTGCGTTGGGGTCCCTCGCCACATGGCCATGTGGGAATCAATATCAGCAGTAAATATGCCCGTGTGCTGCTATGGGTGTGTGATTAATTTTAAAATTTATTATTTTTAACCTTCATTGTTTCCAACTAAGAATTTGAATTTGACCCTTGTTTCGAAACTAACTTTTTTGACTCTTGTTTTTTTATATAAACTCCATTATTTCTTGCACTTCAATATATCTCTTTTGTAGAGTCGCACAACTTGTACTTAGCTTTTCAATAAACTAGAAGCATGCCCTGCGCGTTGTCGTGGGATTTTCTTAAAAGTAAACCTTTTATATATATTATTACTATATATGGTATTATGTATACTATGTGTATATATGAATTTGGCATACATATTATTTTATTATATCAGATCTGGTAAAAAATTGTATTCTAATAGAAGAAAAAAACCAATAGAATATTTGATCACATTATAGAAGATTTTTTTTTTTTGAGAAAAACATTATAGAAGATAGGTGATGAAACAAATAGCATATGTAGATGACTTTATGTTAATAGATTAAAGATTAAAGCTATTGCATATAATTGAGATGATGTGGACTTTTTTTTTAATTAATAAGGGATGACATGGATAGCTTGCATGAAAGGATTACGAGTTAGTGGGACACTTAGTGAGAAATGATGTGGATATCTTGCATGAAGAGAAAAAACATCTAGTAGGGTTTAGCTCTATAAGAGTATAAGATAAGATATATGCAATTATAATCAAGCACGTTAATTCATATCATGGTCGTGCTGAAATAATAGTATAGCGTCACGTCCTATGGCTTCACATGCATCATCTTTGTTTGTTCCTCCGCGTGACAATCCACACACAGCAATTTGGACCATATCTTCAGCTTGATTTGTAGATGGTATTTTG